CTCCAAAAAGTAAAAGGAGCCCCTACCAAGTATTGAGTACATATACAGTAAATGAACATACTTTCCAGAAGGCCAACAATTCACTAAAAATGTTTTTTTATAGGTCTTATGAGGTATTCTAATTTATTGAGATAGTGAATTGGTGGGTTTTTGTTAAATGTGGGCCAAAATCATCGCAATTAAAAGACCCAACAGCTTAAACTACTTCAGTCTGTGTGTACTGAATGTATATAATACACGAGTTTCACTATTTGAGTTGAATTATTGAAATAAATGGACTTTTCCACGATATTCTAAAGTATTGAGATGCACCTGTATAGGCTAGTCACTGATCACGAGCACTTACCTTGGCTGACTGAATCCAGCTTTTCTAATCAACAACACAAATTGGGGTTGAGGAACCTTAGCTGGCAGACAATTCATTATAACTCATTTGATCTTGGATCTGTTCAGCAACATACAAAAAGTACCCCCCTGTTCTTGGAAGCCAGTGAATCTGCAGGGGTTTTTTTGCATATACCATATGGGTGTTTAAATTTATAGTGTAACAAAAATGTTACACTATAAATGAAGGGATCATTTCAGTGCTGGCTGTATAAAACTATAGGAGTCTTTCTCTCACTTTGAATTTTTTACCATCCACCTTCACAGGGCTTTTGTGGTGGTGGGTTATGGGTTCACTGTGCCTGAAATCAGTGATGACCTCCTGAGTTTTGGATGTGGGAGGCTGTTACCTGGTTCCTATAACATTGCTGTATAACACTGTGCTCACAGCGCCGGTGCCAATATATAACATTAGACCTACTGTGTTTGCATCATCAGCATATGAAGAATGGTACCTCATTATTTCCAAGTAAGTTGGCTTTAACAAACAAACTGGTCCTCAGAAAAAGAGTGTGCTGAAGCATTTTAAGATGTCATGTTCCTTACATTGCAGGTCTCGTCATTGCTGGGTCTGTGCGGCAGGATGAATGCAGCGCTGCTTAGCGGGCCACTGCACGAGTCTGCAGCCTGAGTGAAGTCTAAACAGCTGGTCAGCACCACAAAGTAGTGTGTGGGAATGGGTACCGTCCCACTGGCATACCTGGCAGCAAAGATTAAAAAGAAGACTGAAGCCAAACTTCTTTTTATTTGATTTCAATGCCAAAAATTAGACATCTTTTTTTTTTATGTATACATTTAAACTCAGCTGTGATATGTTAATTATTTTCTCATGCTCTGTATGTGGTTATTCACATGTTGACTCATTTATGTTGTGCATAGTCTCCTTATATCTCACTGTTGGTGGTATTACTATGAAAACAGTAATGGTAATGCATAGGTGAGTGACTACAACTTATAATTATGCTGATCTTAACACATACAGCAGGTGACGATTTTAATCCTTATAGTCTATTAGAAATAATTTTAGCACAGAAGATGAAAAATCTCTGAGTTTCCTTCTTAGGCTGGATTGAATCCTGCACCACCATAAATAAAACGTATTTGCAGCTACATTAAAGCTGAATTAGAAACAAAGTATAATGAATATTCTTACTCTTTAATCTTCTCAGCTGAGTCCCTGACACCATCATAGTCATAGTCAAATATGGGTCCAGTGAGTACATTCACTCCATTTCTCTCAGTGGCATATTTCTTTACCAGGGCTCTCTGGAAGTAGCCCCATATTCCTGAGAGATGGAGGTGGAAGAGAGAGGGAGCAAACAGGCAAAGAGAGAGATGTGGGGATGAAACAGGGAAGATGGGATGGGAGGTGATAAAAGCAGTGAATCTACTGGCAGTGATTTGTCACGGTCATAAAGACATCAGTCAAAATCATAAGTTAAAAAGTTTGAACAGGCTTCCACTCACATAGCTCAGGAATGAAAAATTACTAAACTGACTGACTTACTCTTGAATGCAGGATACATGGGGACAGTGTTGGTGATGAGGACAGCATCATATTTTTTGTCTGTGGTTGAGGATAATTCTGGCAATAAAGAAAAATGAAAACATTAAAACCTATTTCAGGTGTAGCAATGTTCTCAGATCTCAGCAAAGACATTTGTGAGTAAAATGCTATAACAAGATTAAAATAAGGCCCAGGCTTTAAAAAACTGAATTGTAGGGTTCAAGGCACCAGGCATTATGAGTTCAAAGCAACAGATCTTTACTGTCTTCAGCGCACCGATTAATCATTTAATCAAAAACCTAAAAAAAAAAGCAATGGCAAAAGCCCATCCCTACTATCAGTACTGAAGGTGACTGCTTCAGAATTTATCTGATTATCACTGTGATAATATAAAATATATTTATATAAAATTAATAAGCTACAAATATGTTTCCAACCTGTAGGCCTATATACAGTATACTTACAGTATCGTATGCACTGTATTTCAGTGTTCAAGCTGTGGTTGTCAGCTTACGTGGTGGGTACAGGAAAGCGTAGGTGATCTGTTTGTCTGCTCTGTAGTTGGTACATGACTGGCTGTGGGCTGGAGGGACTCTGGTATCAGGTCTGACACAGTTGGACAGAGCTTCAGGCAGAGGAGATAGTTCTACCTGGAGGGACCACATGCAAACACACATACACAGAGGAGACATCAACTACTGGTGCTTTTCAGTTGTCCAGCAGTCGTACAGTGCCTATAAAAAGTAGTCACCCCCTTGGATGTTTTACCCTTTTATTGGTTTTATAAATCAATCATGGTTATTTGACTTTTTTGATAAAAAAGAATGGAGTAAAATTGCAGTGTCCAGATGTGCAAACCTAAGACCTATTCATACAGACTCAGTGCTGTGACTGCAGCCGAAGGTGTATCTACTAAATATCAAAATCAAGTCAGAAGGGGGTGAATATTTATGCAATCACTTATTTCACATTCTTTTATTTAATTGACATTACTTTGTAGAAACCTGTTTTCACTTTGATAGTAAAGAGGTTTTTGTAAGTTTTGGCAAAAAATCTAAATTACAGTATATTTACCATGATTGATTTATAAAATCAATGAAAGGGTAAAATATCCAAGGAGGTTAATACTTTTTATAGGCACTGTATACCTTATAGCATAAATCTGGTAAAAGAGACAAATGGTACAGTAGAAGGGAAAAGGTTCAACTCTGGTTTAGCCAGCAGATGGCACCTAAAGCACAGGGAGCTGATAAGTGATGTAGTCTATGTGAAGTGGTGAAAACAAACTATTCATTTATCAGGGGTTTAAAAGCCAGTGAATCTTTACTTTCTCACTAAGAACTCTTCCATCTTCCAGACACACTGTAGACAAATCACATATCCGCTTTTAGAAACATGTAAATTAACACGAATGTTATTAAATACTGTAATACCAAATATTCAGAAAGTAAAGCATAAAGCACAATGAACTGCCTTGTAGTGAACCCCTAGTCATATTTGTACTTACTGCTAGTAGCAGGGGCCAATTTGACCATTGTGTATGTTCCTGTACATCTTTGGTACCACTTTAAAAATCTCCCTTCCATGAACATGGACATATTATGTTCAAAGGGAATCTTAGCATTTTAGGTCATCTCTGGCTCATCTATAAACAATAATAATAAAAGATTCCTATTGATGTACGAGTACCATGTGGCATACTATCTTTGGAATGAGGTGCTTCTATTGACTGTTGATTAACTATGTAATATGCACAGTAAGTATTATGTGCAGTACCCGTCTGCCTACGGTGTACGACGTCCAGAGGGGCATAGATAGAGCCTCACTGTAGCCACTGATGTAGTCACTGTGGTGGAGGATGGAGTACTTGGTACGGAAGAGTACAGCAGGTCGACCAAACGGCAGGTTTCTGCTGTCTGAGAGAGGAGGAACAAAGACGGATACAGCAGAGGGGAGGAACGGAACAGGACACATTTACCAAACAGGACAACTAAGATGATGCATCTTTGGATAGTGATGCAGTTTTACTTATAACATGGATGGCTGCCTCGGAATGATTTGAAATCACCACATCTAAGTATAAACCCAAGAAACTAACCATGAGTATTAGACTGGTTATATATGGATGGAATTCACTGGGTGTTAACGTACAGCAGCACCATGAAAGACTGACCATCAATAGCTTGCCTCAGTCGCTGGTTTAGCTCCTCCACTTTGTTCTGTAAGAGACAGAGCCAGAGTGACTCCAGGTTATAGCCTCGTACAAGGGTCACTTTCAAACCTCTCTGGCCCCTACTTTTTACACGCAACTGCAAAAAGATTGGAGATTGAAACAATCTCTTGCCAGAGATCTACAAGGGAATCAAAACATTACAGCATGTATAAAGTGAAACAATGCAAAGCAGAGGTGAGTCTAATTCACTTCAATCCAAGCAATTAAGATCTCACACAGACGATGTGTGGACCCAGAAGGCTGTCAAATGAAACTGGTAGGGTTCAGTGAGGAGATTTTGCCTTTTCATTCCCAAATGAATTCAAATTAAGTTTCAAATGAATTAGTGGAACCAGAGGTGAACTGACTTCAGCTCTGCAGCAGAAAGTAAAGAGGCAACAAGCTTATTTCATCTTTTGAAAATGCTGAACAGAAGACAAGAAAGCAAACAGGTACTTGGACACATTTTTACAGTCATCAGCATGGGCCCATCATTGATCATAGGTCCATACTGATGATTCTTTTTACAAGTATGCTGTGTAAAAAGACAAGTTCAAAAACAGAACAGAAAAGGTAACTTAAAAAAAAACATCTGCATTTGAAACCCATTCAGTTACTTGCTGTGCTGTGTTGGATGGATGAGATGGCTGTACTGCTTCTAAAAGTCACCTCACCAGACAACACACAGACGACCTTTCAAAAACATGAGAAAGCCACTAGAGAGACCCTCTGCTCTACAGATCAAGGGAACACCAGCTAACCACAGTATGTCTAACATTTATAGCATGTATAGTCATGCATTTGTGGTAACTAAATGCTGTTGACATTTATAGTCATCTGTTTGATGCATTTGTGGTAACTAAATGCTGTTGGGATTAAACAGAAGCTGGTAATTGACTAGTCGGAGACTAAATCATAGCTTTTGTTGTCAGATGACCTTATGTGTGTGCTACATCTGATTCATGTGTTCTGTTTTTTACATTATGACCCTGTGGTATAAAACTAAATGTGAGTAGACTATATTTCCTTTAGAAAATACATACATACAAAAAAAGCTGTTACTTTGTTGTGTGAGGGTCTGCATTGTCATCTCAAGCAGCCCCCAAATTATAAAGATATCTTGTTCAAATCCCTTTAAAAATAAAGATCCAACTAAGACAATCTTACTTCAAAATGGCAGCAGCAGGAAACTCCAGCATTCAGGCTGTTGTTCCTGAACACTATGCCTGTACACAATTCCATCTTTAAAATCAACATAATATAACAAAGCACACTGCAAAACACTCTGTGGAGCAGGCAGAATGAGAATGAGAGGTGCTTCTTTTCAGTAAACATTAAGTAGTCTCCAGGTGAAACACAGTCAGGACCTCTGGCCAGCAACACAGTCAGGTTAGTCACACTTTGCTGAACTTGGTCAGGCTCTAATTTGGCCTGGGGGAATCACTTAATAAGGACCTACAGTACAATTCTTATTTGACTAGAATTACACATGAGTGAGCTGAAACATGATGCAACCCAAGAGGTCTTGATTCACAGGAAACCGTTTGAGAATGTCCTGGCTGACAGTTTTATCAACATTTAGGAACAACAGTATTTTATCACTTTAAGACTGAAAGTCAGGTGACAGAAAGCATTCATGCTGCAGCATGATTGTGTTATTCATCTGTTTGTGCCAGTAACCAAACCCTATCACAGCGAAACTGCCATGCAGCACTGTTTCAAGTTGTTGTCCATGCATCCATCACAATGAAGGAGTACATGGCAATTTTTGGAGATTGGCTTGTCAGTTGATGCAAACACACCTCAGAAAGCAGAAGTATCCATGTGTCTCTCTTAATGCTACTGTTCCATGACAACAATGAATATGACACTACTTTTAGCAACATTTATCAAATTGCTTTCACTAAAAACTGACTGCTTAGTATTTACAGCTGACCTGCATTATGGGATCAGCCAATATACTGTATAATGAAATACTGTCAGGTGTTCTGTCACTTTTACTGTATGCGCATGGCACAACTTTCCTGTGGAAGAAAGTAAAGCACTCCCTGGCAGACTGAGGCCAACAGAGAACCACATTTGAGTGACAAGCCATTTTGTGTCCATATTCACATGTAATCTGATATACACTCACTGATCACTTCATTAGGTATACCTGTACAATTACATGCAATTCAATGCAACATTTCTGTCTTAACATCTGTGTGTTTCCCTAATATTCTGACCTTCTCATGTATGTAGCTGGGGAGAACAAAAATATAGAAACACTTCTGAATATAATGTAGTCTAGTAATATACCACCTTCGGCTACTACTACTCTACTTTTGGGTGTTCCCGTTAGGGGTCGCCACAGCAAATCCGATTCGCATGGCACGCTTTTACGCTGGATGCCCTTCCTGACACAACCCTCTCTATTTATCTAGGCTTGGGACCAGCACAGAAATCACTAGCATGAAACCTCTGGCTAGATACACACTCACTCCTAGGGGGAAATTTAGAGCCTCCAATCAACCTAAGCTGCATGTCTTTGGACTGTGGGAGGAAGCTGGAGCACCTGGAGAGAACCCACGCATGCACAGGGAGAACATGCAAACTCCACACAGAAAGGCTCGAACCCAGAACCTTCTTGATGTGAGCAGACAGCGCTAACTACCATGCCGCTGCGCTGCCCTACAACACCATCATTAGCTATGACCTCAATAATAAAAATAATTTAATTTATATATTTATGACAATTTCACCAAAAACGGAAACATTTTGAGCTTCATAAATACAGATGTTGAGGCAGAAGTGTTGCATTGAGGTGCATACAACTGTACAGGTGTACCTAATAAAGTGGCCACTGAGTGTCCATGGTTCCACAGAGAATCTATCCTGATGCTTTTGTGACCCTAAACCTTTTCTGTAGCACAAATATCAGGCCAAAAATACATGATTTTTCTCATTGTTTCATCATTCTCCTATCTTTTATAGGACCGCTTTAGACTAAAAATCTGAAAAAAGTTTCAATCTTGTTTTTGTAATTGCTCATAATGTCTCAGTTGTGGCAACATTTTACCCATCAAAAGTACTCCTTCAACTCAGCATTGACTATGGTGAGCATATCAAACCAGCAAAGCCAATTAGATTCTAACTGTAATTAAGTAGAGCTAGCCTTCAGCTGCATGAAGGGTGAACATTTTAAGGTGGTGTAAAAACACTTATTAAGCCACTTAACACATTCGTGTAAAAATAACTGACTTGCTATCACCCAACCTGATTTATGATAAAGCACTAGCATGGAACAGGATGACTTTGGTGTCACTGTTGTCACCACTAATATAAGTGTGCTGACTGGCAGGCCAATCTCCTAAAAAATAACACTCCTTTCGGAATTCTACAGGAAGATGGGGCCCAGGTCTGCCACCGAGTTGTCAGGGCTGACCTTGTCGTCACAGCTGCAGCCCAGGTCATCTGACCCTGCAGGAACAAGAGCAGAGGCTGCTGGCCTGGACACCTCCTCTGGCATGGTAGGTCTATAGGGGGGACTTCTCAGCAGGTGGTTCAGACTGCCGTGGGTTCCATTATTGGGGGCTGGTTTCAGACCCAGAAGATCTAAGAGTGAGAGCAAAGAGTTTCACATCATCTAAGAGTAAATGAGATAAGTTGTAAGAGGCCCCACATAAAACCTCGCTCAGAAATGGTCAAGTTGATCAGAATAAAACACATGCACTGACAGACTCTAACACACAAGACAGCACAAAAATATGCCTTACCACACATGACATTATACAGCTCAAAGATTTCAAAGGCTGGAACTTTAGTCTTGAATTTAAATGTAGGTCCATATCCCAAAAAAATTGTCTGAAAGTAAAAGTCAGTGACAAAGGTTAATAGAATCAAGGTATAGTCCAGGTTGGTATATAGGACAGTCTCTGGATATTAAAAGCCAAATGGCTTCTCTCATACCTGCATGCTGTTGATCTTATTGTCATATCCATGGTCACCAGAGAAGCCACAGTGCCTCTTACCTTCAGGAACCTTCCTGTAATGAAGGGTATGAATCATAGATCAGTATCTGGTTGACACACATTGTGTTATTGACCTAGGACTGCATAATCGACTCATACTTCGTCATCAAAGTGATGACCAAGCATTATCTGGCTGCCTCATATTTGTCAACAGAACTCAATTCAAAACAAAATATTCCAGTAGTGGTTTAACTGGGATCCCCTTCATGACAGCTTTTAAATTTTCTTCTTCTAATGCAAAAACACCCTTATCAGCATCCCCGTTTCCCTCACTTGCGTCTTTTCCTTGTGTCTTAGTACTGACAATGTAAAATGGAAGGAAAAAATGTGAGAAGAGAGAAACTGAGGAAATATTTATACAAACACATGACGTGCCTTCTTCTAATCTTTCACCTTAAGTGTCCAGTCACCAACTGATCAAATCAAATCAAATTTTATTTGTATAGCACCAAATAACAACAAAAGTCATCTCAGGACACTTTACAAAGTAAGGTCTAGACCTTACTGTTATCAATATTATTACATAGGGAAAACCCAACAAATCCCTCTTGAGCAAGCACTTGGCGACAGTGGGGAGGAAAAACTCCCTTTAACGGAAGAAACCTCCGACAGACCCCGGCTCTTGGTGGGCAGCCTTCTGCCTCGACCGGTTGGGGTGAGTGGATAGAGGAGAGACAAAAGAAGAAAAGCAACAAGGCACAACAATCAAACACTGGTCAGGTCGATGTGGCTGATGACTGCTCGTCAGAGACGTAGAGCTCCAGGGCCAGGGCAACCTGCAGAAAGGTACAGGGAGAGAGAGAGGACACACTACAGGAGAGAGGAGACAAACTTAGTGATGTCTAATGGTGGCATATACAGTAGATGCATAACATAAAGACATAAAGAGAGAGGAAAGGAATGGAGAGGGGAGGGGAAGAGAGGTACACCCCCCCCCCCCCCCCCACCCCCGGCCCAATGAAGGA